GGCTAGCCATTTGCTATAAACAAGTAAGTATTTGGCAACCAAAATTCTATCAGCCAGATTATTAATAACTACGTGTAACATCAAGTACAAAATATTACGGTTGTAAACTATATGATCCCACAGCTGCAGTGATCAAAATTAAAAGGCCTTCTTGCAGGGATGTATGGTGACTTGGGGCTTCTCTCCGTTTGTCTAAGCGTCTTTCTGCAGGTCTCCGCTCACTTCGACTCCGCACATACCGACACCGTCCAATCCCTTCGATAACAAATCGCAGGTTCTCACTGCAATGGCCAAATGCATGTTCTCTCCTGGGCTCCACTAATTCCACAGATTTCGGCTGCTCTCAGTCAGTCCTCACCAAGCATCCAGCGTTCTCTCTCTCAGTGAGTCTGGAGGGCTTGCTAAAGTTTCTCCCACCCGTACCCAGACGCCCTGCCCCTTCAGCGTCTTACATCGCTTTCTGCTGTTTCCTTGATTCCTTATTGCATGGTCTTTCTCGGTTTTTATAAGTGCCGTACAGTTAGAATTAGTAATTTTTCCCTTGATAGTTCCTTATTTTTTCCAGATGTCCAAATTCATGGTTGTTGGTTGAAAAAAAAAAAAACCCACAGATCTCACCACCTGTCTGCAATGGATGCTGTTTTTTTTTTGTTTGTTTGTTTTTTTAATAAAAGTTTTAGAAAGAACTTAATGGAAGCAGGATTTTGAGTCAGTCTCATAGCAAAAAGATTAGAACACTTTTAAGCAGATCTCACTACCAGACTGTAAAGGATGCTGTTTTGTTAACATCTCTTAGAAACAAATAAAACATTTTTTTTGGTATTTCACTGATGTGTACAGATAGTGAGCAGAATAATATATATATTGTGATCCTGTATTGCAAATAACATGGTCCTCTACAGTATAAACATGCGCAGTATTGTAGGATTTATATAAATTCAGGCACTTTATTTTGAAATCCACTCAGGAGGCAGCATCAGAAACAATACCAAAGAAATATAACAGAAATCCCTACAAACGAAATCCTAGCTCGTCTGAGCTCTTACTAACATTCAGGTCCCTATCTATCAGACGTTAAACTTTACCAACCTTGTTTACTGTCACTTTTCTGCACTCCAGTGCTCAGTCACCAGCCTAGCAGTTCAGGGATTTATTTCCATTTCTGCAGCTGATTAATTAGTATTATATTATAAATATTATTATTTATTACTAGTATTTATAAAGTGGCAACATATTCTGCAGCGCTGTACAATTAGCGGAGAACGTACAATATACACAGACAAATACAAAAGGTAGAGAGTGCCCTGCTCATAAGCTGATATCTAGCCACTGAAGCTCTTTTATACAAAGTGCTTAGCTAGGCAGCCCGTTAGCTTATGATCTAAAGGTTACTTGCAGCTGAGCAATGGGCTGGAGACAGTCTGAATTCCTGGCATGGATATTTTTTCTCCCAGTTACCTATAAACGGAGGAGTGGAGCACCGGTCCACCCTTCTTTCCGAATGCTCTACCCCAGGGGCCCATATCTAAATGTTAATTTATGTTGCATATAACACATACCCTCCCTGGGGATAAATGTCATATACATCTCTGGACGATTTAGCTGAAATATATAAATGCCCTCACAAACAACCCCATTCACCAATTTATATATATATGTTTAACGAAAAAATGGGAAAAGTCCAACCCAAGTAACTTGTTTTCAGCTGCAGACTTTTTACACAATCTCTACAAAACAATAAACATAAAATAAACCTATCCTCATATGCCACAAAGGGCAGTAATCTCTAAATGGCAGTAAAATAAATAATTTCTCCTGTGGACAGTATTGTGATCTGAGGACTTGAATGCTTCCGCTCTCTATCACTGAGTGGATATTAAATGGCTGATGGCTGACGGAGGGCGGGCTAGTGACAGCCAGGCTGCCGGCAAGGCTGCCGGCCAGGCTGACGGCAGGCATACATAACTGCACAATCTCGCAATCTTTTAATCTAGATCTCGCAATCTCTGCTGTTTCCATACCTTCCGGGAACAGCGGGGAGCTGCAACCAACTTGGATGTGGAGATTCACGGCAGAACCCCAATTTTGTTGTCCTGAACCCTAGGATTCCGCGGAACACCAATTGGGAAAAGCTGCTCTACAGTAAATAGTCAAACTGTTTTCTAAACCGTTACACACTTACATGATCCCTTCTGCATCTCCTGTCTGGTCTCCAGTTCTGCTATATCTAAAGCAGGAGTTATCTTTCTGCAATAACTATAACAGTTTCGTCCATATTTGAACGAAACATCTCCATTGGTGCTAACAGAAAAGGAGGCTGGCCTGGACACACCCAGTAAAGTGGCAAACCATTTTAAAACAGTTTAACTACTTACCATGGGTTGTATGCACAGACAGCTGCACAGGGAAGTCTGTGATTGGACAGCCACAGAAAGTCTGGGCGGGGTTAAAAGGGGAGGGCTTGAGACAAGAGAAATCCAGCTTTTGTAATGTGTTTTAAATATACTACAAATTTAATAAATGCATAGTTAAAAGCATATATGTTTTTATTTGGGTTGTATCTATTAAAGAGTGATTTTATGTTTTTTTTTTGTATAGGGCAGTGGAGTGCTCCTTTAAGCTGAACTGTCCAAAATTATATAATAATCACAGAATCCTTACAAACTGACGGTTTTCAATCAGTTTTAAATATGTGTATAAGGCATTTCTACATAGCTATGATTTGTGCATAAGGTTGTTACCCAGCATTCAACATAAATAAATATTTTTCATTGTCAATAACTACCTTTCAAATACCTAACCATTTACATACAACTGCAGTATACAGCACAGAAAGATTTTGAAATGTTAGTACATATAGGTCCAAAATAACACTCTATGTTTAGTCACATTAAGCTCCAATAGATGTTTCTTGTTTTAGGAGACAATATGTTACAAGCTCGTGTCCTACAAATAGCTGATTAGACAGGCAGATGGAAAGATATTATTCAGACATTATATTTGATGGTTACATTTATTCTCATGTATAATTATGTAATCTACTTTTATTTTTTTCAGAAATCAAAAACGTATTCACGATAACCATCCAGCGATTGCGGTCTCTGTCTAAAAACCCAACACCACCTGTTACGTCTCTGCAGCTGTATCTTACCATCATTTAAAAATGCATCGGGTTTTAGCGCAATGCCTCGTTATTTTGGCATCCGTTTCTCTCTGCGTTTCTTCCTGTACTCATTACTCTGTAAAGTTTAAAGGAGGTAAATTCAGCTGTGTTGTGTTTTAAGCTGTTATGCTTAAAAGTGATTCTTTTTCGCAGAATGTTTTAAATAATGAAAAAAAACTATTTCAATATCCCATCCAATCCTATTTCAGAAATAGTATTTGATTAGTTTAAAATACAGACAATTATGCAGTAATCAATGGACTATTTTACAAATATATTTGTAGTTATCAGATTTTGCTTACTGTAGGGGCTTTTAGGTGAGTTTAGTTTCAATGTCATCATTCACATCCAACTCAGAAGTTTTAAAGGAACGCTATAGCATTAGGAATGCAAAACTGTATTGTTAAAGCTATAGTTCCCCTTTCCCTCTAGAGTCCCTTATCGGTAGCCTTTAAAGGATTCCACTGCGGAGGTTCCTCGCCAGGCTCCTCTTCCAGCAATGTCATGCCGATAGGAAAACGAATGCGTATTTGTGCTGCAAGCGCCACGCACGCATTAGTCCTTCCCTCTTAGGAAAAGATTGATAAATGCTTTACAATGGAGATTTTGAAGACGCTGGACGTCCTCATTGTTTCAGGGAGTTAAACTCCGTGAATATGCAGGAAGTGCGTCTAGTGGCAGTCTGTACCCTGCAATGTAAACGTTGCAGTTTCCCTTAAACTAGTTAACACTAAAACTAGGGTTAAGGTGACAGGTAAAGTGTTCTAGGTACCTATAGTGACCCTTTAAAGGATTACTATAGTCAGCAAAGCAACTTTAGCTTAATGAAGCAGTTTTGATGCATAGATCATGCCACTGTAGTCTCACTGCTCAATTCACTGCCATCTAGGAATTAAATCACTTTTGTTTCTGTTTATGCAGCCCTAGCCACGCCTCACCTAACCTTCATATTGGACCTAACATATGGGTGGGTGCCTAGAGTAAACCTTACAGAAAGATTTCTAATGTAATGTCTCTGTTTTTTTGAGAAATATATATTTTTGTAGTTTTATCCAAAATATAATTACTTACGTTTTCCTAGTTTTATCTATGATTTACATGCTATTTAATAGACTTCCACTTAGACTAAAATTAAACTAAATACATTCAGATGAAATAATGATTCCTGCTGGAACAGTCATTCTCTAAACATCTATCACTTTTAAGTTTCTAATGACTGATGTTTCATTTTTGTTTTTCCAGCAGACAGCCACAAGACACAGAAGAAGATGAGAAGTTGTCATTGTAAGTTGGTATCTCCTAATAATTGCTACTATTCTCGCTGTATGTGCTTCACACATGGTTAGAAAGGAACTGTCACTCCAGGCAAGTTCCTTCACCTCAGAAAACGCTATTTTCGCATTTACTGAGGTGAATACATTCTAAATACATTCAGATGAAATAATGCTTTCTGCTGGAACAGTTATTTTCTAAACATCTATCACTTTCAAGCTTATTTTTACTGATGGTTTCATTTTTGTTTTTCCAGTAGAGGGCAACAAGGAACAGGAGGAGTGGAAAGAACATGGTTGTAAGTTGACATCTTCTACTAATGTTACTATTCTTGCTGTAAGTGCTTCACACATTGCTAAAGAGGAAATATTACTCCAGAGAAGTCCTCTCACCTCACAAAACGCTATTTCCGCATTTACTGAGGTGAATAACGCAGTGGAAGTAAGTTAATAAAAACGTACCTTTCCCACACTTACTTATTGAGGTAATATCTCCATCCCATGATGCCTTGTGCAGTGTTCCTCTCTGTCTCATTAGAGATATCTTTGCCAGAGGCTCAAGGAAGCAAGGTGAATGGTCATTGTGGGACCCACCTAAGGGGGTCTGCCTTGGCGTTGGCGGGCGGACATTCCCTCCGATGGCCATTGGAGTAACTAAATAGGGATTTAGGAGAGAGCACAGGTAACTTTTTCCTTGGTTTTTACTGTATGTATTGGGGCTGATGTGTACTGTGGTCGTTGCTGCTGCCCAGGAGTGATGGGAGTGAGCGCAGGACTTTTTTTTTTTGTATTAGTGTTCCTTTAAGTGTTCATTTATTGTGCAGTTTGGCTTCATGTTTATAATTTGGTTTATTTATACATGGGTGGTTTGCTTATTCCTGGGCCTTCTATTTATCTATCTATCTTCTGATCTATGGAGCAGTTATCTTTGCCACATTGTTACCGCTTAGTCCCTGGAGGATATATTAATGCTACTTAATGTCCTTGTTACAAACATATTGCAACTGTTTCTCTGATAGGTGTTGAACGTTTATCCATACACAATTTTGTGACCAAGTGATATATTATGCTTCTACTCTAGTAGCTGTGTGGATTGTCTTAATTGTCTTAATTTTAATTTTATATATGCTTTAACTTTCACCTTGCTCTTTTATCATAGATTGTGTTTGTATATCTCAGACAAAAGTTAAAGGGTCACTATATGCACCCATACCACTTCAGCACATTGAAGTAGTCTGGGTGCAATGTCCCAGATCCCTAAACCCTGCTTTAATAAACTGCAATAATTATCTTTGAGGGTTCACTCCACCTTTAGTGGCTGTCTACCAGACAGCCACTAAATGGACTTCCAGGTCCCCTAATTTTTGGTCACCTAACTGACACGGGACATCCTCACGCTATGCATGAGGACATCCAGCGTCACCCAAACCCTAAGCACTAAGGTGAGTGCAGCCATCGTCGCGCATTCACATTAGGTATCTCCCGCCACCTGACATTGACGGGGGAGAAGCGGAGGTGTAGCTACATCCAGCGCTGTGGCACATTGGCGTTGGAACAAGGTAAGTGACAGAAGGTGTTTCTAACCCCTTCTGCACCGTGGGGGTGTTTTCCTGATACTATAGTTTTCCTTTAAGTTTTAACCCTATCCCTTATGTTGGTTTATCTCCTGCAATGTATTTCCTGTGTGAGAGGCTGTTAGTGGGCAGATGGGAAGTGATCCCTTCCTCTTATTGTCCAGCTTCACACACAGACACTTAAGGAGCTGGAAAAGCACTGAGTTTTACACACTCTATAACTATTTCTGCAGCTCAGCTATTAAGACTGACTGGGCTACAGAGGACACTGGCCAAGGCTCCTGGTACTTATCTCTCCCGACCAGCTTATTTAAGCTCCAAAAGGAAAACTGTGAATCCTGAAAACAGGAGCCCCCTAGTGGTCAGGCATCTCTAGACAGGTGCCTAATGGTCAGTCTGGCCCTGCCTTTTGTAAAGAGTGAGCCTAGGCCTGCAGCAGGACCCGCTGCATGGTCATATCCTGGCTTGTTGTAGTTTGTTAGTGGAGCCAAGACCAGCAGTCTCTGGATGTCCAGAACCAGAGCTGGTTGGATTAGTAGCATTTTTAGGCAGACCATCGCCCCTTTCACGGATGAGACAACTGATAAACAGCAGTGATAAAGAAGCTTTATAAACAGCAATTGAACTCCTAAATGGCAGAGAATTGAGTAGTAAGGCTGCAGGGGCACGATCTATAAACCAAAACTGCTGCATTAAGCTAAAGTTCTTTTTGTGCTTATTTTGTCCTTTTAATATCTGCTCTTACACCTTTCTTACTTGTCCTATACATTATTATTGCAGGGTGTTCGAAATGTACATAAATACAATTATAAAATAAAAATTATTATTACTAGCAAAACTTTTTTTATTTAATCTGTTTTCTTGTCAGCTGCCCATTGTACAATAACCATACAGAAAGATAACGATGTCCATGTCATTTGTACTAATGTACCTGGACTGAAAACAGCAAACGCAACCTGGAACATGACTGAACTTATTAATTGTACGAATGATAAACCTGGGGAAAATGAGAATGGAACGTTTACTTATTCCAACGATATTTTAACTCTAAAACTCAAAAATGTGACTCAACCAGGCAACTATGGCTTGAAGATCGATATAGGCAGCGACTCAATAAAACCCTCAGAATGTAATGAGGACCTGGATGTGACAGGTGAGTGAAAGATCTGGACTGTTACTTCTCCTAAGTGTTTAATCTGTATGCATGGGAGGTACAGAGATATTTGGGGAAGAATAAGATACCTGCATGAGTGACAGATAAGCATCGGTGAGACATGGGAAGGACAAGGGAAGGATTGAAAAGTCTAATGATAGAGTGGAAGGACCAATCTCTTGCCATACAGTTTCCTTCTGTGCTGTAAAGAGAGAAATGGCATGTAAATAGATTAAAAGGGGAGAGAAAGAACACAGAATATATGCTGATAATGAGGAAAAAATTATCTGGTATTGTATAGTGTGATGGCAAAAAAATAACGTTGGATGATACAAAAATGTAAAAATAGAGAGAGAGAAATTAACTAAATATTTAGAGAGGAAAAGAGGCCGCGGCAGAGAACGGAATGTGATCTGTAAGAAGGAAGAGCTGAATGGAGGAGAGATAATAAAAAGAAAAAATGCCTTGGAGTATTAGAGAGGATAGAAGGCATAAAGCCGTTCCTTTCAAGATATACCTCTGGGGGTATCTTGAAAGGAACGGCTTTATGCCTTCTATCCTCTCTAATACTCCGAGGCATTTTTTCTTTTCTTTTCTTTTCTATGTCATTTGGGTACATGCCCATCTATACCCACATAGTCCTATTTTGAATTTTGGGATTACGTTTGCTCTGATCCCATCAGTTCGCTTTTCTTTTCTGAGATAATAAAATGTCAGACTCCAAATGCCTAAACCACTTTAGCTTGAAATAAACATGTTGCTTACCAAATGCATTTCTTGATTGAGCCCGCAAAACTAAATGCACAGGACATTCTTTGCTGGTATATTATCATTTATTATCTATATTATGTTTGCTGTAAAGCGTCCTTATTAGCAGATTTTCAGTCCTGTGTTATTTTTTTATGGTCGACAACTTTTAAGTTGGAATTTTCAGCTCAAATGGTAAAGAATCTGACATTAATTCCAGTCTTCTATTCCTAACTCAGGGAGAGACTGAGGCAAGTCTGTTAAATTTTATCTGGAAGAAACACGCTCAGATAAAAACGATACTCTCTGCAGTGTGACTCGAGAATCTATCAATTTCAAGTAGGTTTTAATGTTTACAATTTCTTTTTCTCTACAGAAACAGATTGCGTCACCAGCCCAATCTCGAGTCCAAGTAGGTTTTATCACCTGTTGATATTATCATTCTTTCTGTATGTTTTTAAAGTTTGTTTAATATTTTTTATGTTGTAAATTGACCGTTTTGACTACTACTACTTCATACGGTTAGGTGTATAAAAGATGTAATCATAGATATATGCTAATATAAATATAACGCCCCCTACCAATGACGTAGGTGCAGATATCGAACTAAAACAAGATAATCAAGTAAGCCATCATAGGTAGGAAACTTAGTAAAAGCAAAGATCACATGATCAGGTTGAGCAGGGGAGGGCTGGCAGCCTTAGGCCTGGGGGGCAAAACCAGTCAAGTGGCCCATTGCACCACCAAATCAGTTCACCATCCATGCCCACCTTTTCCTGGTTTTATAACGGATATTGATGTTATGCTAATCAGTAGCTCTTTGCCATACCCGCTCCTTCACGGCTCCAGGCACTGCTTGTTGTGAGTGTGAGCCACTGTAAATTAGGGGCAGAGGGCACTTGCACTGTGGTAAAGATGGGGCTGGACAGGAGGAGAGTGCAGTGCAATCAGTGCACTCCCCTCCTGTGGGTCACCAGTAGACTGGTGCACCTGCCCAGGATCAGTGCCGGTGCAAGGATTTTTGCCGCCCTAGACAAAATAAAAATTTGCTGCCCCCCATGTGACATCACAATGCCCCACCCATATGATCTGCCATATGAACTAACGCCAGTGCTGCACACAGTGTGTGTTTACATTAAAAAGCCTGCAGGGACCAGCTATAGACACCAGAACCACTTCATTAAGCTATAGTGTCCCTTTAATGTGAGGTAAATTATAGATTAGTGTCACTAATAATATACTAGATTGCCTACTTACAAGCAGATGAGGATGATGATGGGCTGCAGTTTGGCTCCACTGGTCTGGTGTAGAACAGGATCTCTGGAGGCTGTTTGCAACTGTGGTCACAAAATTCAATGTTCTGGGAGAATTGGAAGCAGCTCCATTTTTTGGGGCCCCTTACACAGCTCAAGGTCTGGGCCCCAGGGCCTGACGGTGAGTATGCCCATAAGGCCCACTCATAAGTTCTACCCACCCATGAGTTCACTCACAGGGAGTGGAGTGTGTAGGGGATGTGTTATGTGTTATTGTAGAGGATCTAATATGTGTGCTTATGGTATGTAGTGTATAGGGTTACCAGTTTGTGCAGGTGATGTGGTGTGTTTGTGTGTAGTGGAAGCAGTGTGTATTTGTGTATAAGGGATGTATTATGTGTTTCTGGTTGTGTGTAAGGGATGCATTGTGTGAATCTGTGTTTGTATGCATAAGGGATGCAAGGTGTGTGTGTGTATGTGTGTGCATTGAGTGTAAGAGATGCATTGTGTTTCTGTGTGTATGTAAGAAAAGAAGTGTGTGTGTTTGCATATGTGTGTACGGGTTTGCATTGTCTGTTTCTGTGTATGTGTGCAAATGATGCATTGTCTTTGTGTGTAAGGGTTGCATTGTGTGTGTGTGTGTGTAATGGATACATTGTGTGTTTCTCTGTGTGTAAGGGAAGCATGTTGTGTTTCTGTGTATGTATAGGGATGCATTGTGTGTGTGTGCGCGTGCGTAGTGTGAAAGAGCTCCCTGTCTTGGCCCCTGTCCTATAGAGCTGCCCCTTCTGTCCCGTAGAGCTCTCCCCTGCACCTTAGTGGTCTCTCCTCTCCCCTGCACCTTAGTGGTCTCTCCTCTCCCCCACCCTCCCCTAGCGGTCTCTTCTCACACTCACCCACCCTCCCTGTGCTCTTCTCACTCCTCCCTCTATGTGTTCTCCTCACACCCCTTGTGTTCGTCTTACCCCCCTCCTCCCTGTGTTCTTCATACTTCCCCCCTTGGTCGTCTTACTCCCCCACCTGTTCTTCTTAACCCCCCTTCTTCTTATTGCTCCCCCTTCTTCTTCTTACCCCTTCTTCTTCCTCTTCCTCCCCCTTCTTCTTCTTACTCCCCCCATTTCTTCATACTCACCCTTCTTCTTACCCCCTCTTCTTCTTCTTACTCCCCACTCTTCTTCTTCTTACTCCCCACTCTTTTTCTTACTCACCCCTTCTTCTTCTTACCCCCCTCTTTTTCTTATCTCCCCTCCTTCTTACTCCGCCCTCCCCCTTTTCTTATTCCCCTCTCCCTCTTACTCCGCCCTCCCCTTTTCTTATTCCCCTCTCCCCTCTTCTTGCGCCCTCTTCTTCTTGCTCCCCCCTCTTTTCTTACTCCTCCTCTTCTTCTTACTCCCTCCTCTTCTTCTTCTTACTCCCCCCCATCTTTTTTCATTACTCACCCCTTCTTCTTCTTACCCCCCTCTTTCTTATCTACCTCAACTAGCCTCCCCCTCCCCTCTTCTTACTCCCCCCACTCCCTCTTCTTGTTTCCCCCCCTCCTCTTCTTATTCCCCCAGCATTCCCCACTCCTCTTCTTGTTCCTCCTCTTCTTGTTCCTCACTTCTTATTCCCCTTTTTTTGTCCCCTCCTCTTCTTGTTTCCTCCTCTTCTTGTTCCTCCTCTTTTGTCCTCCTCCTCTTCTTGTCCCCCTTCTTGTTCCCCTCTTTGGCGTTTCCTCCCTCCTCTTTGCCTCCTCCTCCTCTCTTCTTCCCTCCTGTGAGGTGGCCGGGCTGCTCGGTCATGGGTCGGCCGTTCGACACGGAGATGGGAAGGTGCACTCGGTGTGCTTCCTGTCAGTCGGTCGATGGCTGGAGAAACTCGGCGTGGACAGGGTTTCTGTTTCCTGTAACCGACTTGGACTGACGGAAGTGCACACTCGGTGTGTACCCTCCTATCACTCCGGGCCGTGGCCGTCCAACTTGGACCGGGTGCGGCTGGACAGCTTCTGGGGTGGGGAGGCTGCAGCCGCTGAGCTCTTAACAGAGCGCTCAGGCGGCTGCAGTATTTAAAGGGCCGGCCCGCCGCGGCCGGCCTTACAGGAATTTAGGGCGGCCTGGGGGGCAATTGCCTCCCTGCCCCCCGGCCCAGCCCGCCCCTGAGGTTGAGCATGGTAAATCAATAAGCATCGGATCTCAGACTAGCAATGCTCTAAGCATCTCAAGCAATACAATACATTTTTAACAAGCTTTATTCCATCAACAGTGATGAGAAGGACACACATTGAGAGCTACAGACCAGGTTATCCTGGAAGTGAAAAACACTTATTAATTGTAGAATGTATACAGCCATCAAACAGTAACCAACATCACAATACAAAATATCACCATAGTATACCCCTGCTGTTGAGATCTGAGCCTGTCCCTGTGTGACTCTATTACATGTGAGTGCATTCAATATCCACTTACTGCACGTCCTAACATTCTTTTGCAACTTGCTATATATGGAGATATGCTCAAAACCACAATACACGAAAGCACAAGCAAATTATGATAATTTAATAATGGCATCATAATAACATTTAAAGGGACACTCTATCCTCTGTCTTGTTTGTTAATACCGCCTTGGCTGTGCAAAGGCAGTGTTTATTTTGAGCTCTAGGTACTCCTCAAGTGGTTGTCATTCAGAAACAAGAGATACTTCCTCCGTAGAGTCAGGCAATGTTTTCAGGAATGACGTTCGTTGTCCTTATGCCCAGCATGAAGACACCAAATGCTCCCCATATATATGCCTTAGTGAAATGCATCTCTACGAGCAGATTATGATTGGCACAGGAAAGTGATTACCACACATGTTTAGTTTGTCTAATATCACCATTAATGATTATCTCAGTGAATCTAAAAAAGCAGGAAGAAACCCTAGCATTAGAAATACATTTTTAACGTTAGTTTCCCTTTAATAAAATGTTTGCACTTGATATGTAGCTATGTAAACAAAAAAATGAACACAAGTGAGATTCAGTATTTTTGCTAGTTTGATCCATAATCCCAACAAGATAACATTAAAGGATCACTATAGGGTCAGGAACACAAACATGTATTTCTGACCCTATAGTGTTTAACCCACCATATAGGTGGCTTGCCCCCCCTACCCCCCCTTAACCCCAGTGGGGCGCGGGTTTGCCGGCACTGACTCCGTCCCCTTTGTGACATCAAAATGGCAGATTTTAAACTAATCCAATGCTTTCCCATAGGGAGAGCATTGGATTGGCTAAAAAGCGGCACAGGGGTGGGGCGTTTTGGCCAATCAGGATATCCTCATAGAGATGCATTAAATCAATGCATCTCTATGAGGAAAATCCAGCGTCTCCATACAGAACGTGGGGACGCTGAACGGCAGGGCTGCTTACTGTGCAGCCCTGAACCAGGAAGCCCCTCCAGTGGCCACTTGGAGGTGTCTCTAGGAGCAATGTAAACACTGCCTTTTCTTTGAAAAGGCAGTGTTTGCATATAAATGCCTGAAGGGAACTATTATACTCACCAGAACAACTACATTAAGCTGTAGTTGTTCTGGTGAGTATAGTGTCCCTTTAACTGGTTTTAGTAGTCCATGCACAATACATGCCTTGCCTCCCCCCACCCCCATTCCCCTCAATTAGGTAAGGGTTATTAATCTACTGGGATTATACTACCAAAGGGGCCAGCAGTCTACACACACATATCAGAGCCAATGCCCTCCTTACTCCCATGTGGCTAGGGGTCTTCAAACACCTACTCCACTCATCTTAATACTGAGGGGACCCAAAAAGTATAATACCTGTAAAATAAAAATTCATACTTGCTTTCAAAATTCTTATTTACTCATTAATTGTCTTTTTTCACCACCGTCCCCAAAAAGACCAAATTAAATTAAATAAACATAATACGGGACAACTAATTTAAAAAAAAATAAATAAATAAATAAAAAGCCATACACACAAAAACCTCATACAAACAATGATTCTGTGAAAAAGTGCGACTGTGAACTGCAAAATCGGAAGGTATTTAACTTCCTACAAAGAAAAATTCCAAACTACAATTGGTATCACTGAATTAAAGTAATGTAGCTGAACCCAAAGTGAGTTTTAATTTTCTATATAATAATAGTTTGTTATATTTTCTGTATATACCAGTTTAATATTTAATTGTTTTAATAATAAATTCCATGTTAAAGGAACACTCCAAACGCTAAAGCACTTTAGCTTACAATTAATATGTTTAACAAATGCATATCTTTATCGAGCCTCGAAAACTAAATAAACAGAACATTCTAAACTGATCAGTCACAACATTAAAACCACCTTCCAATTACAAATGTATTAGAATTTACTTTGACTTATAACTATATAATGTATACAAATAAAAATGGCACATACCTTACAAAATTTAATTAAATGTAAAGAACCTGGGATACTATTTTTAACAATGCCTTAAACTTGGTGTTTGACATAACCAATGATAATTCTTTCTGGCTTGTTAACTGTGTAAAAAAAAAAAAAACAATCCTATTTTAGATGAGAATATTACAATTGATGGAACAATTGATTTAACTAAATTGTGTATCAATTACCAAAATTGTTTTATTTTACTGCACTGCCACCATATATCTGTCATGGATCCCAATTCACCACAGTTTCTCATAACATACATCAGCAGAATTTTGAAAAATGTTCTTTAATCTTGCAAGAACAACATACCACCTATATACAATTTTAAAATTAATTTCTAGATGGTTGGAACATTGCGTGCTAACTTGAAGGGCATTAGTAATTGTATACCAATCTTTTCAAATAATTATCGTAATTTAAAAAAAAAAAAACATTTTAAACCTGGTAAATATAACTGGGTAAAAGGGTACATTAGAAAAAAAAAAGGGAAAAGGGGGAACAATTTATCCATCCACAATTTAGGGGTCTATAGAGAAGAGAATCTTTTTATACTTGCTATATACTGTATAGATATATACAAAAATGAGGATGCAGCTGTAGATCTACAAAAAACAATAGTGTAACACTGTATGATAAAGTATAAGTGCACTGTGTAGAATATAACTCACAAGATTGATGAATGGTTGGCGCCCAAGGGTGCCTCCCCGATGTAGATGGGGGGCGTTAACACTGTTTCTGCTCCAAGGAAGATGAAATACGACGCAGGATGTGGAGTAAAAAAAGGTTTCTTCTTTATTTAAAAGAATTAAAAGTATAAGTATACAAATAAGCTGTTATAGTATAAGGTCCTACGCTTTTCGTCCGAATGGACTTCCTCAGGGACCTCCAGGTATACTGATACGTAACAGCAATAAAACACATACAAATGAACAATGAAAAAAAAAATCTTTTCAAATAATTATCACAATTTTTTTTAAACGTGGTAAATATAACTGGGTAAAAGGGTACATTAGAAAAAAAAAAAGGGAAAAGGGGAAACAATTTATCCATCCATAATTTAGGGGTCTATAGAGAAGAGCATCTTTTTATACTTGATATATACTGTATCTGATCAGTTAAATTATAAACTAGACTCTTTTTCCCATGATAACATGAGATCTAAAGGAAGATTAGCAATATAAGTCAAAGTACATTCTAATGCATTGTAATAGACTTTATATTGGTCAAAAGGTGATTTTATATAATCCCCTTTTTATTTTATTTTATTTTTGTTGTTGTTTGTTTTCCTTTTTTTATTGTGTTTATATTTGTTAAAAAAAAACCTCAATAAAATAATTTGAAAAGAAAAGCAAAAAACAAAAATAAAATCAAAATACCGGCCTAATATCATGTAGGCCCCCCCTTGTGCTGCCAAAAAAAGCTCTAATGGGTCAAGGCATGGACTCCACAAGACCTCTGAACATGTCCTGTGGTAACATTAGCAGCAGATCCTTTAAGTCCCACAAGTTGCGAGGTGGGGCCTTCCATGGGTCAGATTTCTTGTTCCAGCACATCCCACAAATGCTCAGTCGGATTGAGATCTGGAAAATTTGAAGGCCAAGGCAACACCTTGAATTCTTTGCTGTGGTCCTCAAATCATTCCTGAACTGTGTTGTTTTTTTACAGTCAACAACATCTTAAGTTGGAATTTTCAGGTCGTGTGGTAAATAATGTGGGTGTCTTTTTTATTTTGTTGTTCTTAAAGATCTATCCAACATCCAAAGAGAAAGTTCAATAGATGGTAAGTTTTATGTCCTGATGAAATTACCATCCTTTCTGTATGTATTTCCAGCTTGTTTAATATTTTTTATGTTGTGTCTTGACCATTTTGTCTAGGGTTGTTACATTAGTTTACGTCTAACTGCTAAAATGATAGATATGTAAACCTGATAAAAGTGCAGGCCTCAACCGAAACAAAAGTAACCTAGTGAAATAACCGAGTAATAGCAAAGAGATTATCTCCTAACTCACTGATAACGTGAGAGGACTCCACACAGGATTTCTTCCCTTCAAGTAAGATAAATCAGTAAGCATGTCGGTCAAAATGTTATATAGCATAGTTCGCTTTTTATTTCATTTTATTTTTGTTGTTGGTGGTGATGCATTTTCACATTTTATTGTGTTTATATTTGTTAAACATTTATATTGAGTGTTCTATATTTTTTGTAATTGCACAATTTTTTTTATAAAATAATAAAAAATAAATAAAAACAGCTGTCTTAAATTGTGTAGTTTCCCCCTGTGCTGCCAAAACAGCTCTGATGCATCATGGCATAAACTACACAAGAACTCTGAACATGTCCTGTGGTATCTGTCACAAAGACATTGTCACCAAGACATTAGCAGCAGATCCCTTTAAGTCCTTCAAGGTGCGAGGTGGGGCCTCCATGGATCAGATTTGTTGTTCCAGCGCACATCCCTCAGATGCTCAATTGGATTGAGATCTGGGGGAAATAGTGGCCAAGGCAACACCTTGAACTCTTTGTTATGAAGCTCAAATCATTCCTGAACTGTTGTTTTTTTACAGTCGACAACATTTTAAGTTGGAATTTTCAGCTCATGAGTTGTTGTTTTTTTAATTTAATTTTATTTTTTTTATAGGTAAATTTGACACCCAAAGCGATAATCCAAACAATCGTAAGTTTTATGGTCTGCACAGAATCTCTTCCCTTCAAGCAAGATAAATCCCTAAACATCATATCACAGACTTTATGTTGGTCAAAATGTGATATTTTATAGTCTCCTTTTTATATATACTGGCAATGCTGTAAGGAGGTCTCACATAATCCAAAATATTTTCAACAAGCTTTATTCCATCAACAGTGTTGACAAAGATAGATATGAGCCAGTGACAAGACTATGTGTATGTAAAAAGTACTTAATTGTAGACTGTAGAATACATACAACCATAAACCAAGAAGCCTAGTAAGAATAAAAAAGTCACACAAAACAGAAATCCCTGAAAAAAATAAACTGTAGCACCAATTCCAATTACCAACATTATTAATATTGTTAGGCAAGTCTTAAGGCCAGCTACCACAGGGCTTACCTCTTGTGAAGAGGGTTAAGTATTTGCCAAATAGTACTGATTATTAGCATTTGTTTGCAAAAAAACCCACATAATTTATTAAAGCCTTTGGTCCCAATTTTCTTAAAATCTGGTCAAAATGTGATGTTTTGTAAACAGACCCTTAATATTATATGCACTTGCTGACAAAGGCTTCTAATTATTGCAAATGGCTCTCACACTGATCACTCAGCAATCTAGGGACAGGGTTAGTGTTAGCTATGGCTGGGGTCAGGACCAGACATTTTGGGGCCCCTGACAAAGCCCAAGGTCTGGGAATTTGCAAAATGTTGTTATAGCGCTAGTAGTTTAATAGCAATCGCCAAACATTTAGCTTTCAAATAGTGATTCAGTCTTTACAATATTTGCCCTATATCATTCAAAATTTGATTGAAATCATATGTGACATTTCAACAATCGGGGATATTTATTTTGATTTCTTTTGTACCTTTCCTAAAGAGACACTATAGTCACCTGAACAACCTGCAGGCTTTTTTTTTTTATCAGAGAAAATACAGTGTTTACCTTAGAGCCTAGGAACACCTCCAGTGGCAGTCACTCAGACGGTGCTGCCTGATGTTCTTGTCCTAAATTACATTTTACACAGTTACATAGCTGAAAAGAGACTTGCGTCCATCAAGTTCAGCCTTCCTCACATTTGTTTTTGCTGTTGATCCAAAAGAAGGCAAAAAAAACCCCAGTTTGAAGCACTTCCAATTTTGCAACAAACTAGGAAAAAAATTCCTTCTTGACCCCAGAATGGCAGTCAGATTTATCCTTGGATCAAGCAGTTATTACCCTACATTGAAAAACTATATCCTTGAATATTCTATTTTTGCAAGTATGCATCTAGTTGCTGTTTGAACATCTGTATGGACTCTGATAAAACCACTTCTTTAGGCAGAGAATTCCACATCCTTATTGTTCTTACAGTCTAAACGCATGACCTCGTGTCCTATGTTTTAGTTGCATACATAATCTCTATTACACCACCTAAAATTTTTCACACGATGTTACATGTTGATTTCCAATTAAATCTACCACTTTCACTTTTTTTACATAATTCCTCTCCAAATCTCTTCCATGTGGGTTGCGGGTGAGGGAGGGGTTATCGATGACTAATGATAGAAGATCTATCTGACATAGCTTTTTACTTAATATTTGTTAATCTGATTATCACGCAGGGGGGCGTAGTTGGCAATTACCGCTGGGTATCTTCGTGGCTGTGCTCTTAGGCGGTTTTGCAGTTTATGCCTTGTGGATACATAAACAAAAGGTGAGTGCACGGAACAGGAGCCAGGCATCCTTGGCAAATGCAGTGATAGAGCGCATTCAATAGAGCTTTTCTTTTTATTTATGTTATTAAAAACCTTTAATCTTAGTAATAAAAGGAGATAAAGGAAGACTATGGTCACAATTTAAAAAAGAAGCTGGCGTCATAGTATTAAGAGATTTCCCGTTCATTCCACCATGCTGAGGAAGGACATAATTTAGGCATCTTTAGTCATTTTGTGTTAAATTCTCTACAATTTGGGGTTTATTGATAATGAGCGGAGACATGGTGATAGAACACCCAAAAACTGAGGGAATAAAGAAGTGGAGAAACCACTCAATAGGAAGAGATCAAGAAAATACATTGCAAAAATACATTTTGTAGAAATTGCCATTTTATCTAAGGTTGTCCCTGCTTGGCAACATGGAAAGTCTTGGAACCAAATTTTACCATAGAAACCAACTTTACGATACACACCAGCTTTGTTCTATCTTCCCCTGCCAGGAATATGGTATATATGTTATACACAATCTGTTTCAGTACATTCTAAGACAGGGGTGCTTAAAAGGTAGGTCCCCAGATGTTTGAAAACTACAAATTCCACGATGCCTTGCCATGCTAAAGGCATGCAAAGACATGTAAAAGGATCATGGGAGTTGTAGTTCTACAACATCTGGCGATCTACCTTTTGGGCACCCTGTTCTAAGAGTTGTAATAATCAGTAGACTAAGCACTCAATGCATAAGGAATAGAAGTATGTTATCTAAGTGGTGATCCAATTCCTTTTTGTTTAATTTTTTGGTTGATTAGTAGCAGAGTGTGTGTGTTTGCACAGCAATGTGAGTAGCTATGGGGCGGGCGTTCACAGATCAGGCTCTCTCAGACTAATAAAACCAGAATACAATAGTGACCACCTCTAACTACCAACACACCAGTTAATACGAAAAACCGAAATGAACATACACATTTTTTTTTAAAAATGGTGTGGTGGTGTGGTGTTCTGGTAGTGTTTAGTGTTTTAAGTGATTATAGATTACGAAGATTCTTTAATATTCCATCTACTGAGATGTGTGGTACTAGTCCGTGGCCATTATTAGTTTGTGAAGACCACTGAAAGAGTAAGCCTTTTTTATATTCCTCTCACCTTTAATTATATTGGTGTTTTATCACTAAAAGAGGAATACATATATTAGTTTGTATTTTACTTTTTACACACAATTTTGTGTCTCAGACTGAATCCAGCGATCTCAGAGGCCTACAGCAAGATACACCAGGCAGGAGGTAGGTAGGGTGTATTTAACATGCAGAGCAGGCACCCGTATCAGGAACCCACCTAAGGGCAGGTACCTATTATGCCTAATGAGAAATCCAGCCCAGCTGTTACCATAACCACTATAGTACTCTGTAGTAGTAATAATGCAAAGAGTGTTCGTTTAATGTTTTATAGATTAGTGAAAACTGGATATGGGTATCGTGATAAATATAAAGCCTAATGTATTACTGTTATTAGACATTACATGATGTTCCTTTGTGCTTCAGACGGCTTTTAGGTAAGTTACCATTTATGCCAAACTCTCACATAACGAATTTGGAAGGATGAAGGCCTATTGCAAGAACATTCCAAGCACCATAACCACTAGAGCTGTGTGAAGTAGTTATGGTGCCTAGAGTCTGCTTCCAGAGTAATTTGTCAAAAACATTTTAGAACAGTTTAGAATATCTGCCTCCTCCTGTAGGATCTAACACAGGACTAAGTGTATTGGCTTAGAGGTCAGTTGATGCTCTCAGCCAGTAACTGTGGCCATTCATGGCACGTTTCACTCATAAGAGCTAACTGGATTCTTTTGCAAGTAAAATCTGAATAAAGGGCTACAGCCACAGCTGCCGTACAAGACCACTGGTGGAAATTAAAGAGCGTGACCGTGCCCCAGTGATGATGTCAGAGCTGGAAGGAAGCAGTCACTTCCTTCCAGCTAACAGAGCGAGCGCGGGAGCCAGGAGGAGACTGCCATGGAGGAGAGGAGGGAGTCAGAGTGGGGGCCGGACTGGGGATACAAAGCAGCCCTGTAAAAAAAATCTATGCCAGCCCCATAAGTCATTGCGCCATATATTATCGCATGTAATATGTAAGGCTATGTCTTGCCACCCCAGATGATTGAGTAATATATATATATATATATATATATATGTGGCAAACCTAGCCACTCAGACTATAACTGGACACTATGCCTTTAAGGGTTGCCTATAGGTCTGGAGAGAGATGCGTTGTAACTGTATGTGCCTGCTTCATGTATTCCCTGCATTACCTGTACCTATCTGTTCCGCCGAATGCAAATGGCGGTTTGTATGGGGATTCCCGTTCGTTTCGCGAACGGCACTTTGGAGGGCCGTTCGTGAAACGAATGCGATACCCCCTAATAGCCCACACACTTAGAGGCGTGTGGCGCTAGTTAACCGATTGCAACATTGTTGCAATCGGTTATTAGAGGCTCTCCTGGGTGGCCGTCGTTCGACTACCGACCATGCGGCGGTCGGCCATCTTGGATCCCTGGTTCTTCAGCGGGTCCGTGTCGTCGAACGCATAGCATTACCAACAGTTATTCGACGGCACGAACACCGCTGAGCCTCCAGGATGTTCGGGAGTTTCAGGACCAGGTTCACTAAAAGCAATCGGTTCTTTTCGTGGGTTTGAAAGAAATGTGTTTTCTGTGCGGCGTTCGGTTATTTTAGCTGGGATCTGAGCGGCAATCTCACGAATGATGCACCCAGACCCCAGCTATCTACCGAACGTCCATTCGTGTAAATCCACCGTATATTGTACCAGTTGTAGATTTTTGTGTGAATTGCCGGTTCTGCTGCACGAGGGGATAATCCCCTTAACGGTGCATTCTGGGAGGATGATCCCTCTCGTGCAGCGGTGCCTGATGGGAGAAATATGTGGTACTGTAAGTCCCCCATGTAGTCCCCTCCTGTACAACCCCTGTGATGTCAGTTTGGAAACCCCTTGCATGGGGAATTGCATAAATACTGTGACCTGTGATTAAAACCTCAGTTGACTCCCAGCCTATGTGTCGTCTAGTTCTTGGGAAGGAAGGGTTACTACAGTGCTGTTTGGATTACTATATGCTGATTCCCTGGATTATCCTTTGTTGTTCCTGTTACCCAGCGGAGATATCGTGGATCATACTGCCTCTCCGCTACAATTGGTGGTAGCGGTGGGATTGAATTTACACAGCAAAGCAACGTTCGGCAGATTTTTAAACGAATCAAGGAACAAGCATTCGGGAATCAGCGCATTCGAATAAACCTCACGAACAGCAGGTGAATGGGAACAGAATACACCCTGCTAAAACGGAGCACATTAAAGGAGCTGCTGGAAGCAAGAGGAGCAATCGCCAGTAACAAGGCAAAGGCTGTCCTAATTACGGAGCTCATGGAAGGAGACAGAGCCGCAGCTGCTGCAGCACCTCAAATGGAGGGACAAAACAACGAATTTACAGCGGAATTCCAAGCACGACTGGCTTTATTTCCGGAACCACCATCTACAGAAATGTTTAACCGGCTGTTCGCCGATGTACAGGAGTACATTATGGCTAGGGGACCGCCAGGAAACCAGCAAGCCAGAGAAAGAGCCGCAACGCCAGTCCATAGTTTCCCAGGAAAAAACCAAAATCCCATATCAAGCCTTCAAAAGCTATGTGGAGACAGAGGGTGGCGTTGACGACTATTTACAGGATTTCGAGAGACTGTGTTTGCTGCACGAGATTAATGATGCAGACAGAGTACCCCTACTAGCGGGGAGATTATCTGGGCGAGCCGCCGAAGCGTACCGGGCAGTACCAGACGAGGATAGTAGAGACTACGCTAAAGTAAAACGGGCCATCCTAGCCCGGTATGCCATCACCTCAGAGGCATACCGAAAGAAGTTTCGGGACATTACAAAAACCCAGTAAGGACACCCATGTGGAGTGGGCGCACCAGCTACAACGAGCTGCCAAAGGGTGGCTGGAGGCCGCCCAAGTTGATACATTGGAGGGTCTGTTCCAGCTAATGGTACTGGAACAATTCTTCAATGGCGTCCCGACCTACCTACAAAACTGGATCCGGGACAGAAAGCCACACACCCTGCAGGAAGCGGCTAATATGGCAGACGATTTCCAGGACAATCAGAGAGATCAACCCCTACCAACCCGAACCACCATCCCCCCTACAACGGCCAGCCCTCCAGGGGGCCCCGCAACGTACCAGCGACCAGGGGTAAATCAGAATTCCTACCCCCCCAGATATTCAACACGTCCACCAATCCGGTGCCATACCTGCAACCAACAGGGGCACATCCAGAGAGACTGCCCACGGAACCGGCCTCGACCCAGCTGGAATAACGCCGCCCAGAGCAACCGTGCCGCAATCCACTGTCTACAGACCGAATCCGACCAAAATCTGGAGTTGGGGACGACCCGGGAGGAACCCCTCGGTACTCTACACGAGGTGAACCCTATCCAGGCCGCCTCCGATAACCGCCAAGGGCACCGCCAGGAAGTACACATGGAGGGGAGGAAAGTGCAAGGACTCTAACTCTAGTACGCAGTCATCTGGTACCAAAGCCCAAGCTCACGGGGGACTGTGTGGCTGTGCGGGTGGCTGGGGGAGCCATTTACAAAGTACCCACGGCCAAGGTGCACTTGAATTGGGGAGCGGGGCACGGGAATGTATATGTGGGGATGATGCAAGACTTGCCAGCGGATGTGATTTTGGGCAACGATTTGGGGGAGCTGACTTCGGCTTTTGTTCCCCAGCCCACCGTACAAGAAGCATACCCAGTTGTGACCCGGCAACAGGCCCGCACCACTGCACCATTCGAACACTCTGAGGCTCAGGTAAGCAATGACCCTCTCCTACCCCCTACCCTGCCCTGGGCCAATTCCATAGAGTTCGGGGCCGAAGTAGCCCTAGATCCTTCGTTACAGGTGTACAAAGATCGCATGGATAAAAATCAAGCTGGGTTAGAAGGTATCAGGACAAGGCTTCTACTATACGACCGCATAGAGAGGTAGGTGTCGGGTTAATGCCGTTGCCCATTAAACAGCTAATAGTGCCTGAAAATATGGAGTTGGGAGCACATTACGCGGCTGATATCCCCCTGTGCGGACACCTAGGCATCAATTAGGACCAGCACAGGCTGACCCATTTCTTTTGGCCGGGCCATTTCCCAGGATAATGGCGGTATTGTCAGACCTGCGATACCTGCCAAAGGGTAGGCAAGAGGGACAGATACAAAGCCCGACTACGGTCTCTGCCCATCATTGAAAGAACCATTCAGTAGGGTGGCAGCAGTAGACATTATAGGCAGAGACGACCTTATGTTCGGCCCTGTCTTGAAACAATCTTGTGGCGCCCCTCACCTGTCTCTGTTTGGACCCCTTCAAACTATTTTAGGAGCATTCACAATCTGTTGCCTCCACCCCTTTCTACAAAACCACTGCACCTCTTAACCAAAATCCCTGGCCAGATCTTCACCAAGCCCCTGGCCACCACTTCATCAAACTCCTGGCCACCCCTTCCCCTTCATCAATGCCCTGGCCATCCCTTCGTCAAACTCCTAGCCACCCCTTACCCTTCATCAATCCCCTCCCACCCCTTTATCAATTCCTGCCACCCCTTCATCAGTCCCCTGCCCCTCTCATCAATTCCCTCCCACCCTTTACTCAGCCCTCTGCCCCTATTCATCAGCCGCCTGACCCCCTAATCAATCCCCTCCCACCCCTTTAACAGCCCTCTGCCCCATTCATCAGTCCCCTGACCCCCTCACCAATCCCCTCCCCCTTTTATCATTCCCTGACCCCCTCATCAGTACCCTCCCACCCCTATCACCCACCTGCCCCCCTTTAATCAGTCCCATGCCCCCCTTTTCAACCCCCTGCTCCCCTTCATCAGCCCCCTTAATACATCCCATGCCAAATAATCCAACCCCTGGCCACCCCTTCATCAGTCCCCTGCCCCCTCATCAATTCCCTCCCACCTATTTATCAGCCATCTGCCCCCATTTCATCAGCCCCCTGATCTCCTCATCAATCCCCTCCCACTCCTTTATCAACCACCTGCCCCCTTTAATCAGCCCCATGCCTCCCTTTTCAGTTTCCTGCCACCCTTTATCAGCCCCCTTAATAAATCCCCTGCCAATTAATGCAATCCATGCCACCCCTTCATCAACCCTTTGCACCCCTTAATCAGACCCTGCCTCCCTTAATCAAACCCCTGCCCCCCTTAATCATACCCTGTCATCCATGCCCAGTCCCCTGCCCCCCTTAATTAGACCCAGTGTCACCCATAGCCAGTCCCAGTCCCCTGCCTCCCTTAATTAGACCCAGTGTCACCCATAGCCAGTCCCAGTCCCCTGCCCCCCTTAATTAGACCCAGTGTCACCCATAGCCAGTCCCAGTCCCCTGCCCCCCTTAATTAGACCCAGTGTCACCC